CAGCTGTTTGGGCAGTTTCCTTTCTGATGGAAAGAGCTTGTTTTCCACTAAACACTTTTGAACAGCATCTGCTACCATACCAATCTTCAATTTTACATCCTTGCAATATGTCATTAAACTGCTTGGCAATGAGCAATTCATTTTCAGTGTGATGAGTTCCTAGAAAAAGACAGATTGTAAATCTAACAAATAATACTTTTGAAAATATCATTTTCTGCCTCAGATCCCATTCATATTGACATGGAAACATGGCAATAAATTAATAACTTCAGTAAAATACTGTTATTTAAAAGTGCCAAAGGTCCCATTGTATTATACTTATTTTTCATAGCAATTATTTTGGAATGAGTATGCAATCTGATGAGCCAATTTTTGCATATCCTAAGTGTTTCTTTGCCATAGGGGCAGTGCTTTTTTTCTAAAAAAAAAAAAAAAAAAAGTGCCAGAACTCACACACGTCATACAACCCGCCTTGCCTACCCTATAAGGTTCCATCCAAAAATGGTGCCAGAACTCTGTTCTGGGCGTTCTATGAGAAAAAAAGCCCTGCATAGGGGTATAAGCCCTCTTACTGAATTAATGTGCTAAATTGGTTAGTGTTTACAACAAAAACAAGATGATTTTTTAAATGATTTACTTAAGGCAACATAAAGGGATAATGGCGATAGTAAAAGCCAGTTTATTAGCAAAACTGCAGTGTTGTATTTTTTTAAAAAAAAATATTGAATATAATTTTATACATATATTCTATATAGGAAATACAACTTAGTGATCATCAATCCTTCTAAATGAGAAGTATACTCTCATACCCTTAGCTGACACAGATTTTATTGTTCTATTTCACATGAGTTTAACAAATAGTTTTGGCAATGGAACAAGAAATGATGAAAGAATTGATCTGCCTTTTCTCTTGACAAACTCACAACATCATGTGATGTGTCACGATGTATCGCGACTTTTTTTCCATTGCTGGCAATGGGGTGGGTGCAGTTTTGGCATGACGCATCTGGCCCGTGGGCCAGCAGTTTGACACCCCTGATCTAAGTCAACCCAAGGATGTATGCTGGGTACTTGATAAGATTACAGAAACACTTTAACCACAAATAATTAACACTGTATGGAAACAATACAATATATTAAGATTTATAGCATAATAAAAATAAAAAATCTACAAATTTGTAAATTTGTCCCAAAATCAAAAGTGTTACTGAAGAGTATTTATTTAAAATGTATATATTGCCAGAAATTGCAAGTCGTAGATTAATTTTTGTACTCTTGTACTTTAGTATTCTGTGGGTACTGTATATGCTATGTTTTTAAAGGTTGCATGTTTCTGCAGAATCTGGATAGGGCAGATGTCACATGGATAAAATGACAGAATGAAATAAATCAAATTCAAGCTAATTTGTCCCACTCTGTAAAAAATAAAACCAGAATTAAGCAGCTGACGTAGCATAAAACAGGAATGGTACTGATATATAATAAAACAAAGAAAAATATTGGATTACTGTACCTATAGTTCCCAATTCATTTAAAAGACAGACATCTGTATAATTCATTGCAATATATCTTCTCCATTATACTGTTTAATAGTTATATGCTAGGACAGTTTTTCTCAAACCTAACAACTTAAAGATATATGGACTTCAACTCCCAGAATTCCCCAGCCACAGTTGAAGTCCACACATCTTAAAGTCAGTACGGCTGAGAAATGCTGATTTAAGAATTTGTTAATCTATGATAGCCAAAAACAAGAGTCCAGTAGTAGCTTTTCAGATTAGCAAAAAAAATTTAGAAGGCACAATAGATGTTTTGGTGAACTACAAATGTACAGAATGGTTAAAGTGATGTAGGATTTAAATTGGGTTGAGGTGGGCATGGAGTGAAGGGAGGGGAAGAGATCTGAGTACACAGTCCACGAAACCTGATATTTTAGCTCTCATAGCTCAGAGCTAAGTGCTTGAGACAAGAGATAGTTTGTGTTGCCTGGTTTGCATATTTGAGGAAATAGATTAAAAGATGCCTGGCCAAGGATCCTCCGGAATCTCCATGCAGACACAACCTTGTAGGTCTTTAGGAATTTCTTTCATCAGATTACATAGTTCCTTCTGATATGTTCCTATAGGATCCATGGATAAAAGTTGGTAATATGTGTTGTTAGTCAGTTGCTTCTAGACTTCCTTAACATATAATCCACCTTATTCATAATGACAACTTCTTTCTCAGGTTGATTATGATGTTTATGTTAATGCTGTGGTTGGCATATCATTCAGCTTTGATGAATTTATCACATAAGATGATCTTTTTCATCGATACTTATTGCTTGAGGTTGTTGGCCTAATTCAGGGGTCTTCAAACTTGGCCCTTTTATGACTTATGGATTTCAACTCCCAGAATTCCTCAGCCAGGCATTCTGGCTGAGGAATTCTGGGAGTTGAAGTCCACAAGTCATAAAAGGGTCAAGTTTGAAGACCCCTGGCCTAAGCCAATAGAAATCCAATTCAGTTTTACATCCATGTGAAGGCAACCAACTATGTGGTATTATTTTTAATGTTCCTCCACAACGTATACCATTCCAGGAACAGCATCAACTTATTAATTATGATTATCTCATCATTGGTGCAGTTCCAGAAAGCAACCAAGGTCTAATTCTTTCAGGGATCCTTTGTGGTATTGCTCCTAGGGAAGTGGCACCAGTTGACTGTTCTATATTATAAGTGTATGATGGACTATGAACATGGTTTTATTGAATTGCTATTAATAGTTTAACTATTTATTTGATTTTCAATCGTTATACTAAAGTAAAGAGTGTAAGCAACTTGGAGTCATTTCTGGTTATAATGGCCGTGAGGGAAAAAAATAAAAGGTTGTTTAAATTGTGCACAATTTCCATATTGCATAGTCAGTTGGAATATCATCCCTTCAGGGATCTACTTGCCCCAACCTTACTTGCCCCAACCCAAATGGGGAGGGGTTCTTCTGCTATCTACATACTTGTATCCCTTCTATGCTCCCCCCCTTCATTTTTAGTACACTCTTTCGTCTCTTATCATTTACTTCATTGATACAAGGAATGTTGTTATGATTTTCAAACCAGGAACCAGGAACTTTGGAGAGTATAGAAGTCACTCCTGAAGCTTTGCTTTTTGTGTTAAGGAGGGGGGGGGGTCATTTTTCCTTTTTTTCTATGTATTTCTTTTGGAGAAGTTGCACTAATGGTATGGGACTGGGTTACTTGAGGGATCAACTTGCCCCAGTTTCGTCTACCCTTCTATTAGGTCTGGCAGAAGAGGCAGGTCCAGGTTCTCTCTGTTAGGACATGTCATGTGGTGGGTTCCAGGAAAAGACACTATTCTGTCATGGCACTCATCCTTTGGAATATCATCCCCTCAGCGACCTGCTTGGCCCCAACCTAGCGGCTTAAAGATGTGATTACATCTTTAAAGATATGGGTTCCAGGTACAGACATTATTATGTCGTGGCACTCATCCTTTAAAACAGTGATGGCAAAACTTTCAGAGACTGAGTGCCCAAACTGCAACCCAAAAGCCACTTATTTATTGCCGGGTGCTGCGTGGGCATGGCTGTGGTGGTCACGGCAGACTGGGTGGCCATGGCTACCTCGATGTTGCTCATGGGGAGGGACGCCTGTGGGGGCCGGGCAGGGTTGGGAGAGATCCAGGGGAGTCTCTGGAGGGTGGGGCAGTGGGCAGGAGGCTCATCCTGTGGGGTGAAGCAAGGTAGGGGGCAGGGTGGGGGTGCCATTGCCGCGGGGCAAGGCAAGGCGAGGCAGGGGCTGCCTTGATACCATCAGCCCCTGCACACAGAGGCCAGCGAGTGCATAAGGGCCAATGGTGTCCGTCAGCAGCCACAGCCTGCCGGCCTCTCAACCGGCACGCTCTGGAGCTCCACAGCCTACTGCGAATACCGGGCTAGCCCTCCAGCAACAGACAGAGTAGGGGAGGGGGAGGTACGTGATGAAAAAAGAAGGTCAGAAAGGGCATCTGGGCAGTGGTGGGTGGGGCAATCTCTCCAGTGCCGCATCGGCAGAGGCACTCCACCTGCCTCTTTGGTGGCTGTGTTGCCAGAGCTGCAAAGAAGGCTCGGAAGCAGAGTGAAAGGGAAGAGGGTAGGTGGGTAGGTGAGGGGGATCTGCAGAAGCTGTGCTGAGGAGAAAACAAAAAGCAGCTCTGCCTCACCCACCTCCAGCAGTTCAGAGAAGCCACCTCTGAGCTGGACAGCCAGCCAACAGCTGAGGAGGCGATGCAGTGGGTCGTGCCCAGGAAAAGGAAAGGATGCGAGGCCAGGAGGGACGGGATGGGGAGGAGGGAAACCAACCATGCCGGGATGCATCTGGCCATGTGGGACCTCGGCAAGTTAGTGGGCGGCTGGTTGAAGAGAGGGACAGTTGCAGTTCTGCCTGCTTTATTATGTGGCAGGCTGGGCAGGAGGCGGCGGTGGCAGTGATCCTTGCATCGCCAGGCCTGGCCGGCAGTAGCTCTGTAACTGAAGCTGTGCTACCCATCCTTGCACTGGTGGGGGTGGTGGGTAGGGGTGGGCTCTGGCGTGCACACACCCCTCACAGCTGCCGCTCTGCATCGTCCCCCAGCCCCTCACCACCATCTCCATCTGTAGGGGCGGAGCCGGGGAAACAGGCTGGGTGGGGTGGGGGAGCTGCTAGTGCTGCTGCCACAAGGTGAAATGGGATCGGACCCACACACCTGCTTCCCAGTATCCTGCTGCAGCCTCTCCCATCGCCCCACTGATGCTGCGTCCATACTGCCGCATTTTGGCAATACTGCCGCATCACGGCTGTGGCAGGATATCAGGAAGCGGGATGCATGGGTCTGATCTCCCTTCCCCCACTGGCATCACCTTGTGGCAGCAGCACCCAGCCTGTTTCCCTGGCTCCATTAGCAGCAGCAGCTCCCTCAGCGAGCTCCAGCTCAGTCGCCTTCACTGAAATATGGAGGCCCCATATAGCCACCATCGCCCCACAGGCCCCGCTACCACCAAAGGAGGATGAGACTGAAAACAGCAAAAGTGAAAGTGGATACAGTGACAGGCTATGTAGAGCGCCACTCGACGGAGCTGCTGCCTGTAACGGAGCCAGGGAAACAGGCCAGGTTGGGGGGCACTGCCAGTGCCGCTGCCACAAGGCGAAGCTGGTGGGGAAAGGGGGATCGGACCCACTTGTCCACTTCCTGGTATCCTGCTACAGCCTGTCATGCCACCCCACTGGTGCTGTGGCCGATTTCGGCAAAGCATCATGGCTGCGGCAGGATACCAGGAAGCAGGGCACATTGATCTAATCCCCCTTCCCCCACCAGCTTTGCTTCGTGGCAGCAGCACAAGCAGTTCTCCCCCAACCCGGCCTGTTTCCCCGGCTCCATTACCAGCAGCAGCTCGCTCAGTGAGTGCCCCACCAGTACGACTAGTTCCTCTGCTGATGCCATAGCATAGGCGAGGGGGTAGTGGGAGCTCCAGTCTGAAGAAACAGCTCGCCCTCTTCCACTTCCATGGGTTCTGGCTCAGTCACCTTCACCAAAATACAGAGGCCCCATACAGCCACCATTGCCCCACAGACCTCGCTACCGCTGAAGGAGGGCGAGATTGGAAACAGGAAAAGTAAAGACGGAAGCTACTGTGATGAACTCTGTGCTGGGGCGATTGCACACATGCCCAGAGAGAGGGCGTTGCGTGCCCCCTCTGGCACATGTGCCATAGGTTCGTCACCACTGCTTTAGAATATCATCCCGTCAAGAACCTGCTTGGCCCCAACTCAGCAGCTTAAATATGTGATTCCATCTTTAAAGATTTGGGTTCCAAGAAGAGACACTATTTTGTCATGGCACTCGTCCCTTGGAATATAATCCCCTCAAGGATCAGCTTGGCACCAACCCAGTGGCTTAAAGATGTGGTTCCATCTCTAAGCTTGGGGATCTGGATGTCTGGTAGAGTGGTTATGTTGATTGTTGTAAGGGGTTTCTTATACCTCAGATGCTGGTTGTGTTGTATTGTTTTTCATGTAGGTTTTAATATGGCTGATTCTTTTACATAGCTTTGCAATTGTTGTAAACCACCCTAAATTATGTATTTGAGAGAGGTACCCATATAAATTGAAATTATATTTATGTTTATGGATAGATGCACATAATGTACATATATAGCATTTGCTACAATAAAATGTAATAACATTTATAATGCAATTTCTAATTAATGAAAAAAACAGTTTGTGTTCATACCTGCAGAGTCCGAAAATAGTCTTAGGAAAAGGATTAATGTATATATATATATATATATNTATATATATATATACACATACATTATATTTTGAATATATATATATACTTTATATTTTGAATATATATAACCCCCTGAGAGCCGGCGATCGAGCTGAGCATGGCAGACAGGAAGGGGGGAGGGAAAGATCCAGACAGGAAAACGCCGGCAGAGGGGATGGACGCGGGGGTGAGGAGAAGGGGGGTGGCGAAGAGAGCGAAGGGAAAGGGGTGATGAAGGGGGGCAATGAACCCAGGCAGCCAAGGTGGGGCGAGCGGAAGAACGACAAGGGCGGACCGCCGAGAGATACAAGAGATATGGGGGATACGATCAGAGAAAAAAGGGGGGGAAGTGCCCACGGGAACGGCAACGAGGTGGCTGGGACCAGCGGGACTCCAGGGAAGGGAGTAGGCACCGGAATGATGGTTACTCGGTCGCGCACGAGGGAGGAGAGGGAGAGGATGGCCCTGCCGAGCCGTCCTGCAGGAGCGACCCGACCACCCCACTCCGTGGCTCCGATGTGCTTGAGCCAACGGAGAGTGCGGAGCAACCCCCTGAGAGCCGGCGATTGAGCTGGGAATGGCAGACAGGAAGGGGGGAGGGAAAGATCTAGACAGGACAACGCCGGCAGAGGGGATGGGCGCGGGGGTGAGGAGAAGGGGGGTGGCGAAGAGAGCGAAGGGAAGGAGGTGGTGAAGGGGGGTAACGAACTCAGGCAGCCAAGGTGGGGCGAGCGGAAGAACGACAAGGGCGGACCGCCAAGAGATACAAGAGATACGGGGGATATGATCAGAGAAAAAAGGGGGGGAAGTGCCTACGGGAACTGCAACGAGGTAGCTGAGACCAGCTGGACTCCAGGGAAGAGAGTAGGCACCCCGAGCCTGGTGGACTCGGTCGCTGCAGGGGGCAGGGGGATAGGACTACGTGGGCAGGTGGAGCGGGGGATACAGCTGAAGAGGGCAAGAGGAGGGGGGAATGTTCCATCTACCCCCAGCCCGAATGGAAATGAACCGTGTGAAGGCGCACACACGGGCAGGAAATGCAGGATAAGAATGGCCAGCGGGGTGGAAACCACCGCTGGAGCGCAGCCTATGCAATCAGGACCAGTGACGAGGTCCAGGGGCCGTGTGCAGGCCTTATCCAACCTATAAAAGACTCTCCCATAGACTGGCTTCTTAAGCCCTGATGATGTCAGCAGTGGAAGCTGACGAAAGCTTGGCGGTTGTTTAACTGGTATTAAACTTTTATAGTTTAATGATTTTACCCTGGTGTTCACTTTTATTTGTTTATTTATTGATATGGATGTACCCAGGGATCACGTTTTTAGTATTATTATTAACACACACACACACACACACACACACACACACACACACACACACACACACACATATATATATATATATATATATATATATATATATATATATATATATATATATATATGTTTTTCAAAATTTGGATTGCTAACAAAGAATTAAGGGAGTACTGGGATAGCTATTTCTAACCTTATTTGGTTTCATCAGCCAGACATACC